TCCTGTCAGTTATTGATGCTGTAAGCTGACAGAGCTTAGAGAACTTGGACCACTGGACTGAGGGGAGTAAACATAAAAGATTTGTCCTGGTACTGGATGGACAGTCAAGGAACTGAAGCGTGACATTTTTAACAATATCATGTCTTCCAATCTTGCACCATTTATTTAGGTCTTCTTTAATTTCTATCACCATCAAAAAGACAGAGAAGTTTGTCTTCTTACCATGATTGTCAGTAAGATTAATTGCTAGCAATAATAGTAGAAGAGTTAGAACTGCAACAACAACTCAGTTGTGTATTTAGGCATACAAGGAGTTCAGTGTTGCTTATATGTGACATATAATGCCTGAAGGGGTAGGAGATGAGGCCAAGCAATGTGGACTTTATCCTTTGGTGATTGGTAAAGTTAAACAAGGATTTAAAAAAATTCTTAAGATACTTTATTTCTGTTTCCTGGAAAATTGACATAATACACTATGCTAGTCCCCCATTGTGGCTACAACAAATGACCACAAACTTAACAGCTTAATATGTCAAACACTTATAATTTTATAATTCTGTTTTTCACAAGTAAATGCACAGAGTTGCTTGCCTGGTTTCTCCGCTTCAGATCTTATAGGCTAATATCAAGGAGTCACCCAGCAGAGCTCACATCTTGGAGGCTCTAGAAAGACTCTATATCCAGGCTCATTCAGGTCGTTGGAAGAATCAAGTTCCTTGTGGTTGTAGGACTGAAGTGTATATGTTCATGGTTGCTGTCAGCTGAGGGCCACCCTATCTCCTAGGGACCTCTCTCTGATCCTTACATAGGGACTGGTACATCTCAGAGCCAGTAATACCACAATATGTCTTTCTCATGCTTGGGGACTGACTTTCCCTTCTACCACATCTCTCTTGCCTGCTCCTTAAAATTCATCTTTCTGACTACAGCCAGAGAAAGTTATCTGTTTTTAAGGGTTTATGTGATTAGACTGTGTTACTTGGATAATCCCAGAAAGGTCCCTCTCTTAAATTCTGTAATCTTTCTTAACATCTTCAAAGTTATTTTGCCATGTAAAATAAGAAATTCAGTTCTTAGGAATTAGGGCATGGGATCTTTAAGTGGGGTCATTCCGCCCACACATATTTCTTGTCTTGTTAGAAAGGAAACCTTCAGAACAACCAGAAAATTTTGAAATAAGTAAATAATCATGTAATATCTGTAATGTAAAACATGCTTCCTTAGAATGGCACCCTTATTCACTGCTCAACCATGTGTAGCAGCCCTGACCTACCGGCGGTTCAAGAAAGTCTTAGATGTGTCCATGAAACTAGGGGACTGGGATGCCTGTTGGAGTCTTGGTTTATACAGTTACCTTCCATTCTGGTGATGTTTCATAACACAACTTGCCAAATTATTAATACACAGGTAGTAAATGGCAGTCTTTTTGCATGAGAGCAGAAGAGTAATAGGTGGAATCAATAACAGCAGTAAATTAACAAGTAGTTCTTAGAATCTAATGACATTTGTTGGACACTCCTTATGTTCCTGTTTTTACAGGAGATAAATCTAGGGTCCAGAGCAGGGATGCGACTCCCCAACGTCTCATAGCTATACAGCTAGTAAATGTGGAATCAATTTCTGAGCCAGGTGTCTGTACTATTTCCCTTCTGTTGATCACTGGAATAAAAATTGTTTAGTGAATCTTTCAGTTTTCATAGTTTGTACTGAAACCAGATTTTAAGCTTTTGAATCTTTTAAATCATAATCTTGCACATATCATAGCTTTTTTGATAGATAATATGATTTTGATGTTCTTTTATTACTATTTTTTCCATTTCAAAATAACAAAGGATGGGCTAGCATATTTATTTCATTTATTGCTTCCCTTCTCTATTTTCTTAACCTCATTAATAATATAAATTCATTTCTATTGTATGCTCTGAGCTGTTAGAAACTTGCCTTTTATAAAGCTTTTCCATGGGCAGTTATTGTAATTGAAATAATGGGACTCTGTACAAGAAGGAAAATAAATGTGACTAACTCTGGGGATCTAGGAATTCTTTGCTTTGCACTTTAGCACCACTGTTCATTTTTCTGAAGCTACTAATTGTTTCACCTTGCAGCATTAATGCTATTGGAACAGTGCAGTTTCAAACTTTTATCTCCCTTTTAACTCAGGAGAATTAAAAGCCACAGTATCTCATTCAAGAGGTGGCTACCCAAATTTTCTAGGCTGAGAAAATAAAACCTAAAGGGATAAAGAGAA